TTTGATTTAATATGGCTGAAAAAAGATTACCTTTATTACATAGATATCAAAAACGGTACATTAAATATCACGATTATCTATAAACATTAGGGTTTCATAATTAATAATTTGTCATTCGATTTCAGAATATGACTTATTTACATTGGAATATATTCTATTTTTTTTAACGTATAAAATTATTTATTAATGTGTTCGTCTATTTAGTTAATTGTGTCTGAATTTTAAAAATAGAAGTTGGATTTTTAAACTCCCACTTATTTTTAATTATTAATAATGATAACTTTGATTAAGTTTTTATAAATTGAATCACGGTAATTTCTTCAAAGTTAGAAAGGTATTGACTCAGTAAATAATTATTAAGAATAATTGAGAATTATCGTTTTAAATTATCACACATAATAAATAGGTCATTAATCTTATTTATTTTAATGTTTCTCTTTAATGAATGCAAATAAAATCTTATTGCCTGGAACGTAGCGGAAGAATTATAGAATAAAAATTCTAGAAAAATTGAGTCCATCCGACTACGTGATCTATATCACAAATGATTGGCTATTTGCTCTAGACTTATAGCAATTTCGTAAATAATCACACAGTGATAAGTAATGACGTGATATTTATATAATACGTACGTAGCTAAATTTGTATAGTACGTATTTTTGTATTATGCTTATTGTTATAGTGCTTATTGTTATAGTGCTTATTGTTATAGTATATAGTGTTTAAAGTATGTAATTAGAGAATGTTTACTGACATAGAATGCATATAACAACACATGTTTAGAATAGTTTAGAATATGTGTGTAGAAATTAGCCTGGTGTCCATTTATTTTTAAAGTTTAGAACAAGAGAGGTTATAAGAAAAACTTGATTTGTTTAAAGGAACTAATTTAATTATTTAATAAATGTAATATAAATTTAATAATTAATATAGATAACTGATATAGATATGTTACACGTTATTTTTAAATTCTGTCAATTATTAATTAATGCATGTCATTTTTCAATCGAAAAACGACATATAAAAATTTGCAAATTAAAAAAAACTGGCAGAAATATTTATACGTATTATATTTAACCGAAAATATTCAAATTTATGCAAGATATATTAATATTTACTAATGGAACTAAAAATGTTTGCCTTGAGTATAACTAATTTTTTTTTTCTACAAGAGCAAGATTTAGTATTACAATTCGTTTTTGGACAACTGCAAGAATTTGGACGAGTTTTTTTGACTTGAACCATTATTATTTGCACCTCTTTAGAGGAACGCCATATCACGTTAGTTTTAGTAAAATTTTAATTGAAATTCAAATTTTTTTTATTTACTTACTTCGGAAATGTATGAGCTAAGTATTCTTGGGTATTCCTGAGTTGAGCATTATTGTGTTGGGTGTTCTTGAATTTGGGTTCTTGAATAGTACGAATTATATGACTTGGGTGTTGAACATTATCTCATCGTGTGTAGACCAAGTGCAGGCAAATTTGCCTGCAAGAAGTTATATAATATTTTTTAAAGATTTACTAATATTTTTATAAATATATTTTTTTAAACTTTATTTTTATTTTTAAAATATAATTTATAAAATTAATTGTATTATAAATAAATTAATTTTTTTGATTAATTTCTTTTTTTAATTATATATAATCCCTTATATTATTATTAAAATTTTTACTTTAAGATATATTAAATATATTTAAAATAACTTCTCAAATTTTATTTAAAATTTTATTTATACGATTATCAAATGTAAATAGTTAAAGTTGTATGATTTTATTTTGAATTAAGAACTTCTGCTTTGTAAAAATATTTATGACACAAGATCTAAAAGTCATTCTTTTAAAAAAACTTATGAAATAAATCAATTTTTTAGAGAACAATACCATGAGAATAAGTAAGAACAATAATATTCAACTGCTAAACTTTATTTTTAAACAATTTTTAACGAAATGTATCGCGCAGCAATACGTGATTAGTATATTTTCTGGTTAGCGTAGACCATTCATAACACAATTTATACAATCAGCATTTAGCAATTTTGTTATTCAAGTTTAGTCAAATTAAATAAGGTATCTCTTGGGGTTCCTCTCCTACCCCGTTTTTTGGCAATTACACAAAATTTAAATTTCGCAGGCAAATTTGCCTGCGTAAAATATTAAAAGATAAGTTTGATGTTCTTGAATATTATGAATTGGACCTGCTTGGTGGGATTTTTTAATATCTTAAGACATTCACTGTAACATTCTCTATCCACCAAACTTTGGTTGTTTTTTCTTTGTTTCCAATATTCGGTTAAAGGTCTTACGGGTCAGAAAAGAATAACTTTGTAGATTCATTAGTAGAAAGAGAAAAAAAAAACATTATGATAAAAGAATTTTTCAAAATTTATTTATCATTATTGACATCATTAATAGGCTATCGTTGGAATTGACCTGGGTCATTTATCAATCGGTGGAAATTGAAAAATTACGCATAACAAACCAGGGTATTAATAAAATAATTTTTGAATGATAGTGATACTAGGGTTGTTGTCCCACTTATAGATGCAGACTTATTTGCGTCACAAAATAGTTACGGCTCAATTGTAAATTATTTAGCCGCTTTGACGTAAGGCTGCATATGTAGTCCCACTAATATTGTATGTAGCTTAATAATTAACAGATTGGCAACAATATGTGAATTGGTGTAAAGATATTAGTAAACAGAAATGATGTTTTGATTATCTTTGTAACTGAAATAGAAAAACGAGTATACATTAAAATACTGTCTAAATGCATAATTTAATACGTAGTAATGTGCATCTAGACAGTTAATTTTTGATATTTAATTGAATATATAATAATCTGTAAATGCATATACCGATGGTATGCATTTAGACACTACCAAATGGTGTCGTCAGGCGAAAGCCAGGAAGTTCGATTTTTGCCGGCACCACTTTCTGATCCGACTTCTGATAGATCATATGGTGTGTTAAATTACATTTGATCTGTAAAGTAAATTTCGGGAAAACACAATTCCTAGTTTTCACATGGTGACACCCAAATGTTGTACAATACTGAAACTCGTTTTATAAATCTGCTGTACGTACATACGTAAGTACGTACGCGCGTACGAACGATCAGAATTTACAATTATTTTGCATACACATCTGTCCGAATCTGTATTGTCTTATTTATCTTATGGTGGTGCTACTTTAAATATGCATATGCATGCGCAGTCTAAGCAGTATTTAATAGAATATATTACGTATTCTTATATTGACCCGCAAAAACTTAAATTCCGAATAATGTATATCTATAGCTACTCTTTGAATATTTAAATCAATTTTTTTCGTTCTTAAATTTAAATAAATTTTTGTCAAAATTCATAACATTAGTAATAATGTTCAATAAAAAACATTTTGTTTTTACTGATATCCCTGATCTTTCTGGCAAAGTATGTTAAATGTGCTCAATGTTTATTTAAAGATTCCATATTTATTGTAATTTCTATTCAATAATTAATAATTCAGGTTGCGATAGTAACTGGTGGAAATACTGGTATAGGTATCGTAACTGCTAGAGAATTGGCTCGCAAAAATGCTCATGTATTTGTTGCAAGTCGCAATAAAGAAAGAGGTGAATCTGCTGTAGAATTGATAAAGAAAGATACAAATAAAGATTCTGTTGAGTTTTTGCAATTGGACCTAACAAGTTTAAATGCTGTTAAACATGCTGCTGAAACTTTTTTGGCTAGAAAATTACCATTACATATTCTGTGAGTAAAATCTTTTATATCTTATATTGTTAATTTGATAATTGTCTAATCCGAAATTTATTACTTTATTCGTAGAGTTAATAATGCTGGTATAATGGCAACGTAAGTTTTTGTTTATTTCTTATGCGCAATTTATATCTTAATTCTAATTTTATATCCATATCAAAGCCCGTTTGAACAAACTCAAGATGGAATTCAAGACCAGTTTGGTGTTAATCATATTGGCCATTTTGTAAGTAAATGATCCTTTAGGGATCTTTGAATTACATTATCGACAGGTCATTTCGCCGACATCACACTTTGCAACAGCTTATTAACAATATACGTATCATGCAAATAATAACATGCTAAGTTGTCATGTCGTGATGTCGGCTAAATTACTTGCTGATGATGTGGTGAATCGCACTGGAATTACGCTTATTAATATATTAATACGAATTTTATAAATTACGAACTAGCTTTTTACACTCTTATTGCTACCAACTATCAAGGCTTCAGCTCCATCACGTATTGTCAATGTTAGCAGGTAGACAAACCTACTTTTCATATAATTTACTTTCTATATCAAAATCCCGAAATAATCAAGATATTTTTATCGTTATTATCATAGCTATGGTCATAATATTGTTCCATCAGATGGAATAGAATTTGACAAATTGAACGATCCAAATGCTCATACTGCTTTTCAACGATATGGCCAATCGAAACTTGCAAATATTTTATTTACTCTTGAACTTAATAAAAGACTTTCAGAGACCAACGTTTATTGTAATTCTGTTCATCCAGGTAAAAAAAAAAAACATATATATTAATATTTTTTTTTAAAAAAATTAGTATTTTTAGTAAATTATTCTAATTTACACCATTTAATGTTATAAATAAAATTAGGTAGCATAAATACAGAACTAACCCGTGGAATAGTTGATAATTGGGGTTCTTGGATAAAACCAATTCTTTCTGTGATTAATTTATTTTTGTTAACACCTGATGACGGAGCATTAACTCAACTTTACTGTGCTACAAGTCCTGAAATTGAAGAAAAAAATTACCGTGGAAAATATTTTATACCTTTTGGTGAATTAGGTGAAACTTCTGATCATGCCAAAAACGAAGAAATGGCTAAAAAATTGTGGGATTTTTCGGAAAACTTTGTCAAAGAAAAATTAGGTGATGACATTTTTAGTAAACATTAGGCGTAGATAGCTCAATTTCTGTAGTATATTACTTCGTTGAACTCCGCTTTTACATACCATTACACCTTTTTAACACTCGCTCGCTCTCAATACCAATTTTTTATGTTCTGTATACTGTTAAATACATAATGTCTAAATAAATGTTCCGTATAAATAAGTTAAGTACATAACTTTAGCAATAGGGATCATACTTCTATTTTTAAAATACTCAGTGAATTAAATAGGTGCACACGTTTAATAAAATTGATAAATACTTACCAGTCAACGATTATGTAAATAAGTTTATACGTTGTAGTCGTAAAACGGCGAGTCAGTCGCTAATCGGTCGGATCTCTCGTGTAACCTTTAGTGTCGGTAAATTGGGTCGAAAGAGGCGTGTTAGATTTGGCGAGTGGTTAACTAGATTTTGGATGGGTTTTTCTTAATCGTAGAGGGGTTCAGGGTAGGTTATTTAAGATATGCGAACACACTTTTTGTACCTTACGGTTAGGGA